TGCTCCTATGATGCTGCTTGGCCTGCTGTGTTCATCCAGCCCTGCACTTTGTTGTCTCGGATTCTCCAGCATCTGCAGTTCCTACTATCTCTAATTGTTAACTAATGTTCTCTGACATTCCAACAAATACCAAAAAAGCCATTAAACTGTCTAGAGAAACAAACATTTGCATTTTGAAGTATTTCAATAAATAAATACAAATGTACCAATAATAAATATTAATATTTCTTTAAAAGTTGTAAATTGTATTTGAAAGATCTCAATTACAATACTAACCTGCCAAACAGGATCAGTGTGCTTGCCAGATTTCGGTGAACTCTTGTAAGTTGGCCCTGCAACATGTTCCATGATGTTATAGACAGCAACACAACCATCATAAAAGCCAACAGCTATCAGATGAGGATACATGTAGTGGAAGTCCAAGCACAAGATGCTGCTATCCGAACTGTATTGGTATTCAGGGTAGGTAGGATTTTTCAGCGAGTAAACGAGTAGCATGCCACGGTTCTGTTTCATAAAATCATCTAAGAGTTAGGGAGAAAAGATAATTAATCTTTCATTAATCAAAGTAAAAGATAAGCCAACTTATTTACAGATATTAAGGGTGAGATTTTTCTCCAAAACAGTTGAGATACTGTCATTGGGTTGGGTATGGGTGACCAACAAGCATGGGAGGGAAGCAGGTTTAGGTGTGAAGTAGGACAATATTGCCACTAGGAGTGTGCTGGCAAATCAAGTAACTAGGAGAACAGAGGAAGATTTAACTAAATAGGGAGGAGTAGGATTCTGGAGAGCGTACACAAAGGCTTATAAAGAAAAATAATATGGCAGTATTGCAGGGCAACTAATGAGGTAATGATGTTCAAGTTTGGGACAGGAAGGGACAGAGTGCACAAACATTTTAAACAAGGCAGCAAATAGGGTCAATAGGGAAAACTGGTTTAAAAAAAAAGGCAAAATTAATTAATCTTTACATAAATGAACATAGTCTTCAGAACAAAATAAATGAATTAACAACACAAACAGAGGTTAATATGTATAATCTATAAGCCATTACACTGGCATGGCTACAAGGATGGTGGCGGAGTAGGACGCTTTAACCAGAGTTTGTCCTCTCCGTCCATTACTTCTTTTTTGTTCTCACTTCGTTTTTTTTCTTTTGTGCTTTTTTTCCTTCTTCTTTCTTCTTTCTTCTTAGCCTTAGACTCTGTGCCTCAGTGAGGCCTTGGACTTTTGGCCTCAAATTCTCGGCCTTGGATCCTTGGACTCCTGGCCTTGGACTCAGTGCAGACCTGGTGTGGCAGTGTCTCAGCCCAATGTGGTGGTCTTTCGGCTCAGGGGTGGTCTATCAACCCAGCGTGGCGTCCTCTTGGCCTGGTGTGGTGATCGCCCATCCCTGCATGGCTGTATCTCAGCAGCCCAGCGTGGTCTTAGCGTGGACTTCCAGTCTCGAGTGGTCTCCCGGCCTCGAGAACCTCAAGGTGAAGCCTGGCGCGGACTGGAGGCTAGGTGCCAGTATGGTCTGAGTTGGAAGGACCATTGTTCTGAACTTCTTATTTTCTTATTTTCTAATTTATTCCTACAATCTGCATTGCTGGAATTTTTATTTCTTTATTTTTCTAATTTTTATTTCCTAAGTACTTGTACTGAAGAATCTGCACCTAGGTACCTGGGCAGCACGGTGGATCAGTGGTTAGCATTGCTGCCTCACAGTGCCAGGGGCCTAGCTTCGATCCCACCTTTGGGTGACTGTGCAAGCTCCACACAGACATTCTCCCCATGTCTGCATGGGTTTCCTCTGGGTGTTCTGGTTTCCTCCCAGTCCAAAGATGTGCAGGCTAGGTGGATTGTCCATGTTGAATTGCCCATAGTGTTCAGGGATGTGTAGATTAGGTGGGTTATAGGAGGCTGGGTCTGGGTGGGATGCTCTGAGGGATGCTGTGCACTTGTTGGGCTGAATGGCCTGTTTCCACACTGCATTGGATTCTATACCTTTGTACTTGCACTGTAAGTGGTGACTTGTAAACTTTTCACTGTACTCATGTGACAAAGAAGCTAATTCTGTTTCTAATTCTAAAGAAATCAAAGCTGGTAACTAAATATTCATGGGCATGTAACTTCTTGAAAGAGCAGGAAGGAAGGAAATTATGATGGTGTCGCTTCGTTAGTATGAGATAGAATATATGTGGTCAACCAGCGATGCTCACATTCCACAGATGAATAATAATAAAAATGCAACAGCAAAAAATGATTTTGGATCAGAAGACAAAAAAATCCATATCAGTGGAGGCATGAAATAGTAAGGGGAAGAAGACACTGTGGTTGGTTCACTTGCCAAGCTGGTTCGTTTGTTTTTTAGACGTTTGATTACCCTGCTGGGTAACATCATCAGTTCAGCCTCCGATGAAGCGTTGTTGTTTTCCCGCTTGTTATTTAAACTCTGGGGTCCGTTGGAGTTCATTACCTCATTTCTAATCTTTCTTTGCAGTTGTGTGTATATAGGGTCGAATTCTACGTGTTTATTGATGGCTTTCTTGGTGGAAAACCAGGCCTCTAGAAATTCCTGTGCTTGCCTCTGTTTGGCTTGTCCTAGGATCCTGACGTTGTCCCAATCAAACTGGTGGTTCTCTTTGTCTGTGTGAATAGAGACGAGTGAGTATTAGTTGTGTCTTTTTGTGGCTAGTTGGCATTCATGTATTCTCGTAACCAGTTTCCTTCCTGTATGTCCAATGTAATGTTTGTCGCAGTCCTTGAATGGAATCTTGTAGATTACATTGGTTCTGTCCATAGTGGGTAAGGGGTCTTTGGTTCTTGTCAGCAGTTGTCGTAGGATTGATGTAGGTTTGTGTGCTACTCTGATGCCCAGTGGCCGTAGGAGTCTTGTGGTCAGTTCAGATATGTTCTTGATGTACAGTAACGCGACAAATGTGTCGGGGCGTACTGTATCTTCCTGTTATTATTTGTGTGACAGGCATCATCGGACCCAGCTGTTCGTGTATCCGTTGTCTCTCAATACTTGGTAGAGGTATTCTTATTCATTTTGGCGTAATTCCAGGTTGCTGCAGTGTTGTGGCTCGTTTGAACAGTGTTTTTACACAACTCCATTTGTGGGTGTTGGGTTGGTTACCATTGAAATTTAGGAATTGATAAGTGTGTGTACTTTGGTCACAAATTCCCTGTTGGCCCTGTGTTCTACCATCACATTCAGGAATGGGAGCTGTTTGTTCATTTCTTCTTCTCTGGTGAATTTGATGCCGGTGAAAATGTTGTTCATAACTTGGTGTGTTTCTTCCAGTTTATGATTTGATGATGATGGAAGTGCGTCCACATATCGGATCCATAGTTTGGGTTGGATTGCAGAAGGGCCATGCTTTCGAGTCTCTGCATCACTATTTCTGTTATTAGTCCAGAGATAGGTGACCCAATAGGTGTCCCATTGATTCGTTCGTAGATCTGGCCATTAAAGGTAAAGTGGGTCATGAGGCATAGGACCAATAATTTCAGTATGTTGTCTGTGGAAATAGTGTTACTCTGGTCTGGTTCTTTCAGTAGTGTTGCTAGTGTTTCTCTTGCTAATGGTATGTTGATTGATATGAATAGGGCTGTAATATCAAAGGACACCATGGTCTTGTCCTCATCTATTCTTATTTCTTTGAGGGTTTTGAAGAACTCCTGGGCAGAGCGGATTGAGTGGGCTGAGTTGTTGACGAGGCGCTTTAGTCTTTATTGTAACTCTTGGCTAACCTGTGTGTTGGTGTGCCTGTAAAAGACGATGGGTCGGCAGGATACTTCTGGTTTGTGTACCTTTGGGAGGCCATAGAATCGGGGGGTGTTTGTCCCTTCAGGTTTCATTTTTAGGTAGTCTGCTTTGTTGATTTGTCTGGTCTGTTTGACTCTGTTTAGTGTGTAGATGATTTTATTTCCCAGTTGTGGGTCGGGTCTGTTTCCACTTATTGGTATGTGTTTGTGTCCGCTAGTAGCATCTGTGCTTTAGTGAAGTAGTCCCGTTTGTTCAGTATTACTGTCATGCGCCCTTTGTCCACGAGTAGGATTATGATGTTTTTGTCTTCTCTCAGTTCTTCTAGGGCCTTATTTTCTGATGTGTTGAGAGTGTTAAGTTCGTTCCTTCTGGTCCATGTTGGGACCACTGTCTGTCTTATGGCTTGTTGTGTTTCCTCATTAATGCCATTGGTCTTCAGTGTGGATTCTAGTGTGACTAGGAATTCTGTCTTGTTAGCATCTCTGTGGTTGTAGTTGAGTCCACGTATTAGTACAGCTTTCTCTGTGCCTATTAGTTTTCTGTTAGGTTACTTATCCAAGTGTCTGATCTTTGGCTGTTGTTTTGGTGGGTTAGTTTGGCTAGTTTTCCTTGTAGGGTGTGTCTTTTCTTAGTTTTGGTTTTTTGTTGACTGATGTTAATGGGTCGTTCTACATCTGTTGTCCACTGTAGGTTGGTTGTGTCTAGGTATAGGGATTTTTGGCGCGCAACTTCCCTGTCAACCACCAGTTCAATGCGGACAACGTCAGGATCCTTGGACAAGCCAAATGGAGACAAGCACGGGAATTTCTAGAGGCCTGGTTCTCCACCTAGAAGGCCATCAATAAACATGTAGAATTAGACCCTATATACACACCACCACAAAGAAAAACCGGAAATGAGGTAATCAACTCCAATGGACCCCAGAGTTTAAATAACAAGCAGGAAAACACAATAATGCTTTATCGGAGGCTGCACTGATGAAGTTACCCAATAGGGTAATGAAATGTCTGCAAACTAATGAACCAGCTCAGCGAGTGACCAGCCACAGCATCCACAACCCAAGCTAAAAATCTATTCAAGAACCTGAAGAAGACACTGTTGGGAGCAGTCTATAGATTACCTAACATTAGCTACACTGTAGGACAGAAAATAAAAAAGGGCACATTAAAAAGACAGTACATTAATCATGGATGACTTTGTGTAGATTGTGAAAATCAGAGATTGTCATTTACTAGGGGTCACGATTTCAAGGTGAGAGGGGAAAAGTTTAAGGGAGATATGCGTGGAAAGTTCTTTACGCAGAGGGTGATGGGTGCCTGGAATGCGTTGCCAGCAAAGGTGGTAGAGGCAGGCACGATAGCATCATTTAAGATGTATCTAGACAGATACATGAATGGGCAGGGAACAGAGGCATACAGATCCTTGGAAAATAGGCGACAGGTTTAGATAGAGGATCTGGATTGGCGCAGGCTTGGAGGGCCGAAGGGCCTGTTCCTGTGCTGTAATTTTCTTTGTTCTTTGTTCTTTGTTCTTTGTCATGGGGAAAAATTCATAGTGTATCCGGGACAGTTTCCTAGGATAATATGTTGAGTGTCCAGACAGGGATCATGGTAGTTTGCACCTGGTTATGCATAATGAGGCCCCTTTAATAAACAAATTCAGAGCAAAAGATCTCAGAAACAGTGACCCATAACATGGTAGAATTAAACATTCAGTTTGAGAGTGAAAAAGTTTGGTTGGAAATAATTGTGCTAAACATAATTA